GAGCCTAATTTAACAGCGCTTAATCAAAACTGGTCTCTCGTAATAGGTGTTATTGCGTCTAGGGGATTGTTGTGAAATGTCTGCTTTAGAAGAGGAAGAGGCTCAGGCCTGCGTGAAGAATGGTTTTTACGGATGTTACCTTTTGGTATCAGTTGGTTCACGGTGTAAAGGGAAGACCTACATTGGATTTACCGTCAATCCAAACAGACGTATTTTGCAGCATAACGCCGGTCCTCAACATGGAGGGGCCAAGTCAACCGCAGGAAAAGGTCCTTGGTAATCTATATAGTCGATGTTATTTCCAAGGATTATGGCACTAATTGTTCACGGCTTTCCAAGCGACATATCTGCCCTCCAGGTGATATTTATTTGGCTTGATCATTTTTGTAGTTTGAGTGGGCGTGGCAAAATCCATATCAATCCCGGAGACTTTCTGCCATCCCCCCACGTACAAAACGAGAATCCCCATTTGACTTCAGATTTCGCATTCTTTGTCACATGCTGAACTCTCCACCATGGCGACGGTTAGGCTTGACTGTACGTTGGGCAAATCAAGAATACAAACGAGAATTTTCCCCCGAACTTGCGCCTCCAATTCACATGCCTGTTGCCTATGGACCGATTGAGACACCAAAGCCTTCCAACTCGTCTTTCTTGCCACCGCCATCGAAGGCCGACCTTTTCTGCCAATTGTGCCTCAAGCCCTTTGATGTACGTTGCGAAGTTCGATTTTTAAAAAAATCTTATTACCGGTTTTTGATGCCCAAGAATGGTAATCAAACCTCTTAAATATTCTGGTGCTGTAAACGTGCAACGGTATACATACAGCGTGTCTCGCCTAGGTGATTTCTACTCATTCCTTTTAAATAACAAGAGGACTCAGGGCAGTAGTTGTACTTGTAACGGCTACGATCATGACTGATCTAGCCAGCCTCAATTATGTCCCGTATGGTGCTTCTCCACGCGCGACGATCCGTGGCCGCAGACCTGGAGATTTCAACCCTTCTTTTCGCCAGCGCCAGAGACCGAAGGTCCAAGGACCACTGCCATGTCCTGACGAACTGAGTCGAGCCAGGTTTTGAGTTGACTTCCTCTTCGACGTTTCCAATTACGTGACAGTTTTAAGTCGAGGGCAGTAGAACTGAGCTCTTGAGGTTGGCGACGAAAAAAGTGTCCAAACAACCTCAGCCGTCTTTCCTGAATGGCCTGGGATATCCTTGTG